GAGAACCCCAAAGAGCCCCAGAGAGCCCAAAGAACCCCAGAGAGCCCCAAAGAGCCCCAGAGAACCCCAGGGAGCCCCAAAGAACCCCAAAGAGCCCCAGAGAGCCCAGAGAACCACAAAGAGCCCCTGAGAGCCCAAAGAACCCCAGAGAACCCCAAACAACCCCAAAGAGCCCCAAAGAACCTCAGGGAACCCCAAAGAACCCCAAAGAACAGGGTCTGCCTGCCCCAGAGAGAACTAGAGAGCCCCAAACAACCCCAGAGAGCCCCAGAGAACCCCAAAGAGTCCCAAAGAACAGGGTCTGCCTGCCCCAGAGAGCCCCAGAGAACCCCAAAGAACCCAGAGAATCCCAGAGAGCCCCAAAGAGCCCCAAATAATAGGATCTGCCTGCCCCAGAGAGAGCCAGAGAGCCCTGGAGGGCCCCAAAGAACCCCAAAAAATAGGGTCTGCATGCCCCAGAGAGACCCAGAGGGCCCCAAAGAGTCCCAGAGAGCCCCACAGAACAGGGTCAGCCTGCCCGTAGCCCCCCAGAGAGCCCCACCCTGGGCTCTCCCTGCCCACAGCCCCCCAGAGAGCCCCACCCTGGGGTCTGCCTGCCCGCAGCCCCCCAGAGAGCCCCACCCTGGGGTCTGCCTGCCCGCAGCCCCCCAGAGAGCCCCACCCTGGGCTCTCCCTGCCCGCAGCCCCCCAGAGAGCCCCACCCTGGGCTCTCCCTGCCCGCAGCCCCCCAGAGAGCCCCACCCTGGGCTCTCCCTGCCCGCAGCCCCCCAGAGAGCCCCACCCTGGGCTCTCCCTGCCCGCAGCCCCCCAGAGAGCCCCACCCTGGGCTCTCCCTGCCCGCAGCCCCCCAGAGAGCCCCACCCTGGGGTCTGCCTGCCCGCAGCCCCCCAGAGAGCCCCACCCTGGGCTCTCCCTGCCCGCAGCCCCCCAGAGAGCCCCACCCTGGGCTCTCCCTGCCCGCAGCCCCCCAGAGAGCCCCACCCTGGGGTCTGCCTGCCCGCAGCCCCCCAGAGAGCCCCACCCTGGGCTCTCCCTGCCCGCAGCCCCCCAGAGAGCCCCACCCTGGGCTCTCCCTGCCCGCAGCCCCCCAGAGAGCCCCACCCTGGGGTCTGCCTGCCCGCAGCCCCCCAGAGAGCCCCACCCTGGGCTCTCCCTGCCCGCAGCCCCCCAGAGAGCCCCACCCTGGGCTCTCCCTGCCCGCAGCCCCCCAGAGAGCCCCACCCTGGGGTCTGCCTGCCCGCAGCCCCCCAGAGAGCCCCACCCTGGGCTCTCCCTGCCCGCAGCCCCCCAGAGAGCCCCACCCTGGGCTCTCCCTGCCCGCAGCCCCCCAGAGAGCCCCACCCTGGGGTCTGCCTGCCCGCAGCCCCCCAGAGAGCCCCACCCTGGGCTCTCCCTGCCCGCAGCCCCCCAGAGAGCCCCACCCTGGGCTCTCCCTGCCCGCAGCCCCCCAGAGAGCCCCACCCTGGGCTCTCCCTGCCCGCAGCCCCCCAGAGAGCCCCACCCTGGGCTCTCCCTGCCCGCAGCCCCCCAGAGAGCCCCACCCTGGGCTCTCCCTGCCCGCAGCCCCCCAGAGAGCCCCACCCTGGGCTCTCCCTGCCCGCAGCCCCCCAGAGAGCCCCACCCTGGGCTCTCCCTGCCCGCAGCCCCCCAGAGAGCCCCACCCTGGGCTCTCCCTGCCCGCAGCCCCCCAGAGAGCCCCACCCTGGGCTCTCCCTGCCCGCAGCCCCCCAGAGAGCCCCACCCTGGGCTCTCCCTGCCCGCAGCCCCCCAGAGAGCCCCACCCTGGGCTCTCCCTGCCCGCAGCCCCCCAGAGAGCCCCACCCTGGGCTCTCCCTGCCCGCAGCCCCCCAGAGAGCCCCACCCTGGGCTCTCCCTGCCCGCAGCCCCCCAGAGAGCCCCACCCTGGGCTCTCCCTGCCCGCAGCCCCCCAGAGAGCCCCACCCTGGGCTCTCCCTGCCCGCAGCCCCCCAGAGAGCCCCACCCTGGGCTCTCCCTGCCCGCAGCCCCCCAGAGAGCCCCACCCTGGGCTCTCCCTGCCCGCAGCCCCCCAGAGAGCCCCACCCTGGGCTCTCCCTGCCCGCAGCCCCCCAGAGAGCCCCACCCTGGGCTCTCCCTGCCCGCAGCCCCCCAGAGAGCCCCACCCTGGGCTCTCCCTGCCCGCAGCCCCCCAGAGAGCCCCACCCTGGGGTCTGCCTGCCCGCAGCCCCCCAGAGAGCCCCACCCTGGGCTCTCCCTGCCCGCAGCCCCCCAGAGAGCCCCACCCTGGGCTCTCCCTGCCCGCAGCCCCCCAGAGAGCCCCACCCTGGGGTCTGCCTGCCCGCAGCCCCCCAGAGAGCCCCACCCTGGGCTCTCCCTGCCCGCAGCCCCCCAGAGAGCCCCACCCTGGGCTCTCCCTGCCCGCAGCCCCCCAGAGAGCCCCACCCTGGGGTCTGCCTGCCCGCAGCCCCCCAGAGAGCCCCACCCTGGGCTCTCCCTGCCCGCAGCCCCCCAGAGAGCCCCACCCTGGGCTCTCCCTGCCCGCAGCCCCCCAGAGAGCCCCACCCTGGGGTCTGCCTGCCCGCAGCCCCCCAGAGAGCCCCACCCTGGGCTCTCCCTGCCCGCAGCCCCCCAGAGAGCCCCACCCTGGGCTCTCCCTGCCCGCAGCCCCCCAGAGAGCCCCACCCTGGGGTCTGCCTGCCCGCAGCCCCCCAGAGAGCCCCACCCTGGGCTCTCCCTGCCCGCAGCCCCCCAGAGAGCCCCACCCTGGGCTCTCCCTGCCCGCAGCCCCCCAGAGAGCCCCACCCTGGGCTCTCCCTGCCCGCAGCCCCCCAGAGAGCCCCACCCTGGGCTCTCCCTGCCCGCAGCCCCCCAGAGAGCCCCACCCTGGGCTCTCCCTGCCCGCAGCCCCCCAGAGAGCCCCACCCTGGGCTCTCCCTGCCCGCAGCCCCCCAGAGAGCCCCACCCTGGGCTCTCCCTGCCCGCAGCCCCCCAGAGAGCCCCACCCTGGGCTCTCCCTGCCCGCAGCCCCCCAGAGAGCCCCACCCTGGGCTCTCCCTGCCCGCAGCCCCCCAGAGAGCCCCACCCTGGGCTCTCCCTGCCCGCAGCCCCCCAGAGAGCCCCACCCTGGGCTCTCCCTGCCCGCAGCCCCCCAGAGAGCCCCACCCTGGGCTCTCCCTGCCCGCAGCCCCCCAGAGAGCCCCACCCTGGGCTCTCCCTGCCCGCAGCCCCCCAGAGAGCCCCACCCTGGGCTCTCCCTGCCCGCAGCCCCCCAGAGAGCCCCACCCTGGGCTCTCCCTGCCCGCAGCCCCCCAGAGAGCCCCACCCTGGGCTCTCCCTGCCCGCAGCCCCCCAGAGAGCCCCACCCTGGGCTCTCCCTGCCCGCAGCCCCCCAGAGAGCCCCACCCTGGGCTCTCCCTGCCCGCAGCCCCCCAGAGAGCCCCACCCTGGGCTCTCCCTGCCCGCAGCCCCCCAGAGAGCCCCACCCTGGGCTCTCCCTGCCCGCAGCCCCCCAGAGAGCCCCACCCTGGGGTCTGCCTGCCCGCAGCCCCCCAGAGAGCCCCACCCTGGGCTCTCCCTGCCCGCAGCCCCCCAGAGAGCCCCACCCTGGGCTCTCCCTGCCCGCAGCCCCCCAGAGAGCCCCACCCTGGGGTCTGCCTGCCCGCAGCCCCCCAGAGAGCCCCACCCTGGGCTCTCCCTGCCCGCAGCCCCCCAGAGAGCCCCACCCTGGGCTCTCCCTGCCCGCAGCCCCCCAGAGAGCCCCACCCTGGGGTCTGCCTGCCCGCAGCCCCCCAGAGAGCCCCACCCTGGGCTCTCCCTGCCCGCAGCCCCCCAGAGAGCCCCACCCTGGGCTCTCCCTGCCCGCAGCCCCCCAGAGAGCCCCACCCTGGGGTCTGCCTGCCCGCAGCCCCCCAGAGAGCCCCACCCTGGGCTCTCCCTGCCCGCAGCCCCCCAGAGAGCCCCACCCTGGGCTCTCCCTGCCCGCAGCCCCCCAGAGAGCCCCACCCTGGGGTCTGCCTGCCCGCAGCCCCCCAGAGAGCCCCACCCTGGGCTCTCCCTGCCCGCAGCCCCCCAGAGAGCCCCACCCTGGGCTCTCCCTGCCCGCAGCCCCCCAGAGAGCCCCACCCTGGGCTCTCCCTGCCCGCAGCCCCCCAGAGAGCCCCACCCTGGGCTCTCCCTGCCCGCAGCCCCCCAGAGAGCCCCACCCTGGGCTCTCCCTGCCCGCAGCCCCCCAGAGAGCCCCACCCTGGGCTCTCCCTGCCCGCAGCCCCCCAGAGAGCCCCACCCTGGGCTCTCCCTGCCCGCAGCCCCCCAGAGAGCCCCACCCTGGGCTCTCCCTGCCCGCAGCCCCCCAGAGAGCCCCACCCTGGGCTCTCCCTGCCCGCAGCCCCCCAGAGAGCCCCACCCTGGGCTCTCCCTGCCCGCAGCCCCCCAGAGAGCCCCACCCTGGGCTCTCCCTGCCCGCAGCCCCCCAGAGAGCCCCACCCTGGGCTCTCCCTGCCCGCAGCCCCCCAGAGAGCCCCACCCTGGGCTCTCCCTGCCCGCAGCCCCCCAGAGAGCCCCACCCTGGGCTCTCCCTGCCCGCAGCCCCCCAGAGAGCCCCACCCTGGGCTCTCCCTGCCCGCAGCCCCCCAGAGAGCCCCACCCTGGGCTCTCCCTGCCCGCAGCCCCCCAGAGAGCCCCACCCTGGGCTCTCCCTGCCCGCAGCCCCCCAGAGAGCCCCACCCTGGGCTCTCCCTGCCCGCAGCCCCCCAGAGAGCCCCACCCTGGGCTCTCCCTGCCCGCAGCCCCCCAGAGAGCCCCACCCTGGGCTCTCCCTGCCCGCAGCCCCCCAGAGAGCCCCACCCTGGGGTCTGCCTGCCCGCAGCCCCCCAGAGAGCCCCACCCTGGGCTCTCCCTGCCCGCAGCCCCCCAGAGAGCCCCACCCCCCCATGTCCCCCATGTCCCCCAGGTGCCCCGTGTCCCCCGTGTCCCCCATGTCCCCCGTGTCCCCCAGGTCCCAGCCGTGCCCCCCGTGTCCCCAGGTACCCGAGGGCCAGGTGGCCACGCTGTCGTTCCGCGTCTTCGACCTGGAGCCGGAGCCGCGCTGCCGCTTCGACGCGCTGGCCGTGTTCGGGGGCCACGGCCCCGCGGCGCCGCTGCTGGGGCGCTTCTGCGGCACCTTCCGGCCCGGGGCGCTGCGGGCACCCCAAAACCGCCTGCGCCTGCACATGGAGAGCGACGGCGGCACCGCCGGCAGGGGCTTCCTGGCCTGGTTCAGCGCCGGCAGCCCCCCGAGCGACGGTGGGTGCGGGGCCGCGGGGAGACCCCCGAGGAGTGCGGTGTGACGGGGAGGGAGCGCCGCCGGCGGGGAGCAGGGAGGAGCCCACGGGAGCGCCCCAAAACCGGCCCGAGGTGTGCAGAGATGTGGAACCGCCCCGGTAACGCAGCCGGGGTCCCCCCGGTAACGGAGCCGCAGAGACCCCCGGAAGTGCGGGGAGAGGGGGAGGGACTCCACAGAGACCCCCGAAAGTGCGGGGGAGGACTCCACAGAGACCCCCAAAAGTGCGGGGGAGAGGGGGAGGACTCCGTGGTGACCCCCAAAAAGTGTGGGGAGGACTCCACAGAGACCCCCGAAAGTGCGGGGGAGGACTCCACAGAGACCCCCAAAAGTGCGGGGGAGAGGGGGAGGACTCCGTGGTGACCCCCAAAAAGTGTGGGGAGGACTCCACAGAGACCCCCGAAAGTGCGGGGGAGGACTCCACAGAGACCCCCAAAAGTGCGGGGGGCAGGGGGCACCGAGACCCCAAAACCTGCACAGGACCCCCAAAACCTACAGAGGAACCCCAAAACCTGCACAGGACCCCCAAAATCCTATACAGGACCCCAAATCCTGCACAGGACCCCCAAAACCTACAGAGGAACCCCAAATCCTATACAGGACCCCCAAAATTTACACAGGACCCCAAAATCCTATACAGGACCCCCAAAACCTGCAAAGGACCCCAAAAACTACAGAGGAACCCCAAAACCTACAGAGGACCCCCAAAACCTGCACAGGACCCCCAAAACCTACAGAGGACCCCCAAAATTTACACA